TCTTAATGGCAACTAAATTAGATATAAGCATTCATCATGCATCTCTGACAAGAGTCACGTAATATTAGAGAAAATTCTCTACCCACTCTTCCGTAAGTTAGGCACAACAATTGAATTTATATTTTATCGTTTATTTCTCAACATTCATAAAATTATGTCACTATCGATTATTTCTCAAAATTCATAAAATTATGAGTAAAATTAAAGTCATTATTTTTTATTTTTTTTTGAAATTATAAAGTACTAAAGAATATATGGTTATTGTTTTTGGTAAATTAAAGGAACATGGTGTTGAAGCTTGAGGCTCTATACAAATAATTAAGGAATAGAAAGTAGACTCAAGATTTTATGGGTGAGTATTTGCGTTGAGACAAAAGGACATGTAAAAAGAATATGGATATTATCTAAAGCAAATTGGACGATAATATTAGGAAAAAAAATTAAGTCGCAACTTTATATTAATTAAATAAAAAACTTTCTCACAAAAATGTTTGAGTTATTTTCTAAAAAATTCGTTTCAAGTGCTCATAAAACTATAAAAAAAAAGTGCATACATAAGGATATTTTTTAATATATTATTGATGAAAGTCAAATTTAGTTTAAGAAAGCATCAAGTATGAAAGGTTGATATTAAATAAAGCCTAGAATGTCAAAAATACATATCCATATATGGTACATTAAAGGCTTGTATTGGCATAAGAAATAATAAATTAAATAAAGCCTAGAATGTCAAAAATACATATCCATATATAATACATATCCCCCGTTTCATTTGTTTCGCACTTCATTCTATATGTCTTCTTCTCAAGTATCTCTCTTATAAGACCATCACATTTTTTTCCTCCTGAACCTCTTCCAATTCCCTCTCTATAACATATGAGAAAAAAAAAATGGGGTTCTATCATGATTTCAATTTCAAAAAAGAGATAGTAGCAAACTTGATGCATGAATGTTTCTTTTTTTAATCATGATCGATGTCAACAAGACCGTACTAACATGTGATTGAATTGAACTCAATGATATTGTCAACAATAATTTTTGGAATTAAATAACTTGAGCATAAAATTATATTTTTCAACAAATATTTTAGGATTAAAAAAAATTGAGCATAAAATTTGAATTTTCTAATAGAAAAGCGCTTCTTTCACATGCTGACTAGTTCTTTCATCATGCATGTAATGGTTTATTTAATGAGAATGTTGAAGGAAATATTCAAATTCAGGTGTACAATAATAACACTAAGTATTGCTTGCTTGTCCATCAACTCTACTAACTTGAGGGCTATTGTTGGACCAGTTCAACACAGTTTAGCTTGGAGGTTCCGGTCCAGCATAGAGGCTGGACCAATTAGTTGTTTAGGCTCGAGTTGTGGGCAGGATTTACCACTCTCTTTCTCCCATATTCTCCCATATTCTCCCACCTATCTTATTACAAATTCATTGCTTGTTGTTTAAGGTTTAGCTTTTGGTTAATTCTAATTTGAGATTTATATCTCCATGTGTTTTTCCTTATTAAGGTTGTATCTAAGAATATGTGGTGCTCCAACTATATCTTACTCTGAGGTGGTGACTACCACGACCAAAATCCCCCTCCGCCCCTCATCCCCCCCACCCCATGTGCCATTCTGGCCACTTTTTACCCACATCTCCTTGTTGTGCTGCCACAAATAACCACTATTGTCACCGACCACCCCTTAAAACACATCACCAAGAGTTGTTTTTTATAACCTTTTGAATTTCAACAAAAATTATTTCATTGCTATTATGGTTTAGGTTAACTTTGATAACATTTGGTATAAAAAATAGCCTAACTCTAGTCATATCCTAAGGTTTCTTAGCATCCTTCTTGCCCCTCTACCAGAAAATTTTCTTTCATATTTCTAGACCATAGCCAAATATTTACCTAACTCTAATTTTCCCTTGCTGATTTTTAAAATCAACAAACCAAAATAAATTTTCCACACCCAATTTTACCCTTAACTCTAAACCTTAGCCATGACAACAAGGAGATACATGTTCAAGCTTATCCTAGAAGAGATACAACAAGAGATCCACCGACTTTAGAGGAAGCTTGCGGACATTGAGGATGAAACCAAGGAGAAAATTATCCTCGATTGTAACAGGGAAAGTTGACGGGGTGAAAGACAAGAATATCAACCCCTTTCATAGGGAGTATTTTAATGATGAAAAAGAAAGGCTACGACACTTTAACATCCAATATTAGATGAAACTAAGAGAGGAGCCCACATATGGAGGACACAATGACTTTAGAATAAAAATAGATCTATCAATGTTTGATGGAGGCATGAATCCAAATAATTTTATTGAATGGTTGTAATATATTGAGATGATCTTTGAATACAAAAAGATGTCAGAAGATAAAAGGGTGATCTTGCAGCTATACAATTGAGAAAGAGCAGCTTCTGGTGAGGAGCCAACATGTAGAGGTAGATGAAGAGAGAAAGCAATGACAAGATTGCCAAGTGGGAGAAGATGTATAAAGTGATGTAGAGAACATACATACATCCTCACTATCGCCAGAATATGTTTCTCTGACTCTTGTCGCTTGCAACAGAGAGACATATCAATGGAAGCGTTCACAACGCAATTTAACCAATTACAGATAAAGTGATTTGGTCAAGCCAGAAAAACACTTCATAGCCCATTACTATGGGGCTTGAAAACTACTATTAGTAATGTGGTGCAATTGCAGCCATATTGTTCACTTGGAGATGTCTAGAACCTAGCATTGAAAGTGAAAAGGCAGTAGAAACAGAGCAAGAAACCACCACCAATTAGGCAGCCACTCACAATTGGAGAACCAACACAAGCAAGCCTTAAAGAGTTGAGAAAATTAGTTCACATAAAAGATAGAGCCACTATGAGTGAGATGAAACATGAAAAGAGTAGCATGCCTACTACAATCCTCACCATAAAATGTTTCAATATCCATGGATTTGGGTACATCGCCTCCAATTACTTAATGAATAGAGTTATATCTTTTACCTAACAGGGTGACGTGGAGGAGGTTAGCGACGATGAGACATCTATACAACTGGGTAAGGTTCATCATATTCCACCTGACAAGGGTGAGATGCTCGTGGCTCGACAGGTCCTATAGAATGATGATATGAGGGATTCGCAGTGGCTTTGTCACAATATATTCTACACCCGTTTCATCGTGAACTAGAAGGTACGTAGTTTCATCATCGATGAATGGAGCACTAAGAACATAGCGTCAACACAAATGGTAAAGATTTTGGGCCTCATGACTCTGAAACACTCCCAGTTATATTCTCTGATATGGCTGAAGAAGAACAACAAGGTCAAGATTAACAGGAGGTGCTTAGTGAATTTTTCGATTGGGGGTCAGCTGCAAGATCAAGTGTAGTGTGATGTGGTTCCCATGGATGTTTGCCATTTTTTTTTAGAAACCGTGACAATTTGACAACAAGACTCAGCATGACAGATTCAAAACACTTATTCTTTTACCAATGATGAGAAGCACATAGGAGCACTAGATTACAAGCACCTCTGCCTGCAAAGAAACATCAATGCAGCTAGTTTTGGGATGTCAGGGGACGATAAGAGTAAAACGCCAGCTCCAAACATGAGACGGGCAGGACAGAAAGCATTTTAGATTATCACGGTCGATACCTTACCACAAGCTCCACCACAGTTTAGGGAGGTCAGGTTACCCTTACTTCAGATCATGTTAAGCCGACTATGGATTACTTTGGGAGTATTCAGCAGCATAGGTGAAACACGCAGACTTAGTTCAGTTCAGTAGTAGACTGCTAGGAGAACAGATCGATAGGAAAGTATGCTCGCAAGTGGAGAAAAATTCTCTGAAGTTTTGGGGGGGCAATGCATTCATCAGTAGAATCTTGGTGCTTCTTAAATTGCAGCAAAGATCCTTCAACCTAGGGAGATTACAAGAAAGTCATTACCATCAACATGCAGTCAAAAGCTTCGACGAACCAAATCAAAGCTTTCCAACCTCAAAAGACTAATGTGGTAACTTTTGCTAAGCCTATCCAACATAGTTCAACTTGGAGGTTCCAGTCTTGCAAGGAGGCTGGACAAACCCTAAACCCTAAAGATCGACCAGCTGTTTTTGGCGAGAGCTATGGTCAAGATTCACCGCCCCCATTTCCTCTATTCTCTTATCAATCTTATTATATTTTTATTGATTGTTATTTAGATTTTAGTTTTTGATTAAATTTAATTTCAAATTTCTGCTTCTGACATTTTACCTTGTCTTAATCCCCCACGTAACTCCCTCCCCTGCACGATTACAACTGATGTTTACCCACGCCTGTTATGTGTAGCCTCAAACACATCTCATGGCACTAGATTTTCATGTTAACTTCAACTATTTTTACTAGCATTCTCTATGATTTATTAAAATAAAAAAAATTCAATAGTAATCAATTAATTCATATAATTTCACTTCAGATCGAATGAACCCATACTGCATAATTTTTTATTATTTTAAATTTTTTTAATTTTGAAAAAAAGTGATTATCGTATTTAAAAGATTTATTAATGCAAATTAAAAATTATAATTTTTTAATAACAAATAAAAAGAGATTTATATAAAAAAAAAACCCCATAAATTTTGAATAATTACATTAAAAACAAAAACACCATTCAATTCATGTCGAGTGCCATTAAATTTAATGGAAAATATACTTTAGGATTAATTGAAATCAACTTTTAATAATTCAAGACTGAATTAAAACATTCTAAAATTTTGGGACTAAATTGGACACTTCTTAATAGTCCCATGACTATTTTGGGCTTTTACCCTAAAAATCTTATGTAGAGGTTCACCAAATTGATGCTTACATCCTATAGTGGCCCTTCCAAATTCCACTACCAATTAATTATGAAGAATCACAATCTCAAGTCTCAAAATAACATAACACTATACCTACTTTCATTACAAAGAGGAAACCTTGAGTGAACAAAAATTAAAATAAAAATTTCATAATAATATTCTTAACAAAATAATCACAAATACAAGATACATTTTCAGCCCCCAAACCCCCAGGTGGTGAGCTTTAAACCTCCTCTACAATGTTTTCCTGATAAATTTTAATTGAATTCCTCTAATCTTGTTCGAAATTAGAACACGGCATATTCATGGATGTGAAGTTAGGGAAATCTAAACAATACAATCATAAGTTAAATGAAGTTTTTCATTTCAGAAATTTACATACCAACCCCTAAGAAGCTTGACCATCATGGGACATTGGAGTTGCTTCATTTAAAGGTACCACAACTGGAGCAAACTGCAAATGGTAAATTATATCATTAGGACAAATATGTTTTATTCAAATAAGTGGATGGGATGCAATGTGCTGGATGTATACCTCATCATCTTCATCTAACATGGCATCCATATACACAAAATCCCACCCTAATGTGGTCTCCAGTAATTTCTTTAGTTTTCTTGTCTGCATTTTATAAAGAATAAGTTCAAAAGAAAATAAAAAATAATTTAAAAGATAAAATGATCTAAACTAGTGAAATAAATATATGCACTTTTAGTGGGAATGAAATTAATATTTATCAGTCAATATTACTAGAAGATGAAATAATATTTTGATGCATCAAGTTTATCCGGATCGGCTGTTGATCAGCACAAACCAAACAGTTAACCAGCTTATTCGGATCTGATCTGGATGAGTTATTCATGAGCAGTTTATTATTAAGCTGCAGCTGCCCCAAACAAACCCTAAATATCTTAAATGTTACCATACAAAAGAAAGTAATAAATAATGAGAAGTACCAATGGAGACTTGAAAAAAAAAATGTTATGAAGGCTTAAAATGAAAGTTAATGAACTATAGCTAGTCTAAATATCTTGACGGACCTAAATGTTGGGCAAATAAAAACTTATCAATGGATAAATTGAATATGAGAAAAATACAACTTGTTTAAATATGATCGGTGGAAAAACTAGAAAGGATTGAGCAATGATTATATTAGAAAGAAATAAAAATAACTATTGAAGATAAGATGGCATTAAATAGGCTTCAACGATTTGGATATGTAAAATTAAATGTAGAAAATGTAAAGATAAGAAAAGTGAATAAAATTAATGGCAAACAATTAAGTACAAAAAGGGGTATAACAATAATAACATGGTTTAAGTTGTGCAAAAAACTTTGTATATAATAAATTTAACACCTCAAACAACACAGTATAAATAATTGAAAAAAGAGGATTTATAAGGCCAGCTGCAAAAATTTAAGATAAAATTAATGCTGATGATGTTAAACCATGAAATGCAAAGAGGCTATGTCCACGGTCAAATTCATGAATAATAAGTTTAACTTTGCATGTCCAAGGTAAGATAATAATTTGCTTATCAAAATATCACATGAAGGGCATTACTCTTTCAAAAAACAAAAATGATAATACAAGTAAGGTGAGTATTCAAACCAATGACAGAAGGTCTCCGTCAATAACTTCTGCATTTAACACCAACAGAAAGAACTCCTGCAAATTATGACACTTTAAATTACGAAACTCTTTTGAAAACTCATGTATTAAAAAAATCACAACAATTATATACTCTTTAAATATGATTATCAACTTTGGTTCAGCTTAACGAAATGAAAACACTACTAATTCGAATGAGAAAAAATTTTCTGACACTTTGAATCCATATATTAAAAACGATGTTCATAGTAAATTAATTTTATGCAGTAAACAAACACCCTAGCATAAAAATTGCCCGGATGCGCGATAAGTCTTAAGTCATGCTAATACATATGGAAAGAACTAGAAATTATGACTTCTAAAAATAAAGAATCTTTATAAATATATCTATAGAATTGTAAGTGAACTAGTGCACCATAAACAGCTTGATACTCAATAATATAGAGCTCATTTATATTAAATTATTAGCATAATTGGCAAAAAATTAGGAGCTTGTCAAATAAATAAACAAGCTTAAACACTAATGTGCTCGTTCATTTATGTATTTGAACATGCTACTTTGTTATTTGACAAGCAGCCAGCTAAAAATTTTATAATTTAGTCATTTAGTGACGGTTAATTGTTTATTTAAATACTTATGTTATATTCATATATTAATACTTCAATATCTTATGCACTTTAAAAGTAAGCATGCATACATCCATGCATATATACATACATACATACATACATAATAAACTAATAAACAAGTTTGAACAAATAAAATTTATCCAATTTCTTCAACTTAGGCCTTGTTTGGTTGCATATAAGAAGAAACAAGAACTAGATCATTGTGGCTATTTAGTTGATGGAGAAATTGGGCCTGACTTCTTCCCAAAAAATTGATAATGAATGACAAGGAAAGGCAAATCTTTCTCTTGAAACCTCTTCAATGTATAGGAGAAGTTGAGATAAATTTTTCTTGAGGAGGATTAGATTTTATAATAACAAGATTTCCCTCAAATTTGCTCGAGGTTAATTTAGACATAAGGTCGACTTCTTATGGGTAGAAGCTCCTATAGTTATGATCCCTTCAGTTCATAGAAAGGCAACTTTCTTATAAAGGTTGCTTAAGATAAATTTTAGATTAAGAATTAATGTTTATGTTTGTGTTTGATATAACTAATGGAAAAATGTTAAGAAAATTGAGAGGGGCCGATCAATATTTCATGATTTTATCATTCAACATGCATGGGCTGGCCCAATTTGTCAATGTAAGAGGATTTTGAATGGCAACATCCGAAGAACCTAATTAACAACTATGAGTTGTCTCAATATAGCACGAGTAGACCGGGATCATGAATCAAAGATGTTCTTTCGAGGTTAATGTTGCCTCGTTCAGCAGTAGAGGGTTAGTTGTACCAATTTCATCGGCTAATTCAGAAGTACATAATCACATCGCTTGCTTCTTCGCGATCAATTTTCTACAAGTTACAACTTTACTCAAAGCATGTCTAAGATTTTAAGATTTTTAGTTTGTGATTTTAATTTCTGGACATGTTAATATGTAAATTGGCTCAAATTTTGGTCAGCTATGTCATGGAAATGCTAGAGAGTTAAGCATAATTTCATAGCTTGTTGGCATTGTACTAGCCTGAATAAATTTTGATGAAGATTACATCCTTTGGAAGAATCATAAATTAAACTTGTAACCTTAAGGTGAGGAAAGCCTAGTAGTGGGTCTTACAGCCTTAACCTTACAAGTAAAACAGCCCAACAAATTTAGTTTAAGGGATTTTGTTAATTTTTTTGTCGTCTACAACAAAAGAAATGGAGCTTATATCCATTAGAATGTGGAGACTTGGATTGAGTTGTAGTTCCATTTTTTTTTTTTTTTAATAAGCATTAAGATTTGAATCTCAATTCACTAGAGAAGTATTATAAACTGGAATTTAAAACCATGAGTTTATAAGGAGTCTAATGTGGTCTCTTTAATCTGAATTTAGAATGACTAATAAAAACAGGCCTTACAATCTTGTTCATTAGGCAAAGTGACTCATATGATGAGATGGGTGCAGCACGCATGGATGTATTTATGCTTTGGTTATTTAAGTTACAATCGCTACCTAACTTTGAATGTCATTTTACAAGGCTTACTAAGTTGCAAGTAATTGGAATTCAGGTACATTTTAAACGTAATGTGAACCCAATGCATTCAAAACATTTTAAAGTTGTGTGGTTGATAGTAAGTTAAATAAGTTTTCTTTTTTTTTTTTTTTTTTTTTTTTTTTTTTGGTTTGGTCAGCCAATATAAATGAAATACATTATATAAGGGCATCAATGGTCTGGCAATGGCGTGGACAATGAGGATGATGATGGGCTAGGAGGTCAATGAGAATGGGGCTTGGATTGAGCGTGAGCAAGCACAAGTGTTGTCACATGCAAGATCGAGGCTAAGAAAGACCAACATCATTGCAATCATGGGGGAAAGGGTCTAGGCATCATGTGCAACGTCACATGCATAAGCGGAATGGCAGACTGATGTGCGGAGGAAGGCATGCAAACAACCAGAAGAAAGCCAATGCAAGTGGGAGGCATTGTGGATTGCAGGCCCAAGGGGTCGCGGGAAAGTTAGGCACTTCTGTGTGCAAGCATTGTCACAGACAATTTGTGGGCCCCCACAAAAATGTCAATGCTATGGGTTGGCCCGTTGCATTCGAAATAAACCAATTCAAGAAAATTTCAACATACTCATAAATGACCGATAAGATGAGTTGAAAACCCCATTGAAAAAAAAAAAGAAACATTAAATTTACTCTCAACAGAACAAGCACCCAAAAGAAAAATATATGCATTCTTAATGGAGTACACTCAAAGCTCTTCAAAAGAAATGGCCCTTCATGCAAATATTGAACATCCATTTTTTACACATGGGCAAGTATTGATGAGTTTTAAATCTAGTACATTTGCCAATATTTGTTACATTGGTTGAATTTCACCTTTCTCTCATTTTAAATTCAAAAGCGAGATTGAGGTGAATTTTTTGGTCTTGCATTGTTTATCCACACTTTTGTAAATAATTTTGTCAATCCATTATGTGGGTCAACGGCATGTTAGTGTACTATCTCTATTCCATTCTCGTGGAGGGATTTTGCCAACAACGATGAAACGTAGCGCATCTCTAATGACCAACATGAAGTCTGGAGCATATTGAAGACATCAAAATCGCATAAGAATATTATACCAGCTCCCTTTTGATGATAGTATGAAAGATGTTGTCAAGTTCTGACAGTATATAATTGTCGGGCATGAAATAAATCACCACCTAGGATCAATAGAGGGAGAAGCCTAGTGCCATACCAAACATCAATGGCAAAGTGTTGGTGTTCAAATCTCCGTGGGATCAAAGATCAACATTGTAGAGTCAATGATTTCGTTGAAAAGATGGATGGCTCCATAACTAATCGTATGCATTATTTGACTTCTTTCAAAATGTTATTATTGTAATTCTTTTTTCTTCTTTTACTTCTTATAGGGGGGATATATATATAAACTAGCCAAACAAAATGATATGAAAAGTAAAGATTTAGTTCAAATAAAATGTATTAGAGATGAAAGTAAAAACAAATCTTAGATGAAGATATTCAACATAGATGGATAAGATATTTTGATAAAATTTTCAATAAAATTTGAAAAAATACAATCAATTTAGAGATCTTATTATAATAAAAAACAACAAAAATTTTTATTTCCATCGTCGCAATACTCGGAATAAAAGTTGAGAATTCTTTAAAAGAAATGAAGTGTGACAAAGTAGTACGGCCTGATAATATTTCAAAAGAAGCGTGAAAATATTTTAGAGATCTGGGAATTGCTTGGCTAACTAAACTATTTAATACATTTTAAAAACAAAAAAGATACCTAATGAGTGGAAAAAAAATCTATAGTTTTCTATTTTCAAGATAAAAGGGATACATAAGAGTATGCAACTTATATAGGAATTAAATTAATGTGTCATACATGAAAGTAATGGGAGAGACTAATTGAACATAAGTTTTGACGTGATATAAAAATTTCTCAAAATTAGTTTGGATTTATGTCGGACAAATCTATTATGGAAGTTATACATTTATTGAGAGGTTGACATAAAACTATAGAGAATAAGGAAGATCTACATATGATTTTTGTTGATTTAGAAAAAACTTATGATAAAGTTCCAAGAAAAATTCTATGAAGAGTTCTAAAAAAGAAAAATGTTATTATTGCTTATATTCAAATCATTAAAGATATTTATACTAGAGTTGTCACTTGCTTTCGAACACAAGAAGGATTGACCAAATATTTTCGTATTTCAGCTGGATTACACTAGGAATCGGATTTAAGCCCATATCATTTTTGCTTTAGTTATAGATGCTCATACTAGACATTTACAGGAGGATGTACCTTGGTGTATGCTTTTCACCAATGTATCCTTCTTGTAGATAACACTAAAGAGAGAGTTCAAGAAAAAGCATTATTAAGGTCAACTTTAGAGTTTAAAGACTTTCTTTTGAGTAGATCTAAAATTAAATACATATAATGTAATTTTAGTAATAGTAGAACTAGCGGTGGGATTGTAATAATGGATGATCAAGCCATTAAAAGGAGTGAACATTTAAGATATCTTGGGTCAAATGTTCAAAGTGATTGTAATATAGATGGGATGTTATTAGTAGAATTCAAGTTGGATGGTTGAAGTGCAAGAATGCATCGGGTCTATTGAGTGATAGAAAAGTACCGCTTAAACTTAAAGGAAAATTTTATAAGATGGTAGTGAGATCTACAATGCTTTATAGCGCCTAATACTGGCCTGTAAAAGAGAAGCATAAAATTAAGTTGTGTTGTTGAGATGAGAATGCTCAAGTGTATGAATGGTTTTACACTAAGGGAATGTGAAACGAATATATCTGTCAAAAGGTTGGAGTAGCTCCAGTAGCAGACAAGATTAGGTAGTAGCGCCAGTGGCACTCGCCTTAGATGGTTTGGTCACATTCAACATCGATCATCTGATAACCCTGTTAGGAGAGTAGATGTTTTAG